GGGTTCTATAGCCTTGGATGGCAACTGGTCTACGGCAGAAACAAATGGCAACGTACTGCGGGAAAAAAATATGCCTCGTCAGACAAGTATCAAAAGATACATGATGGCCTAAGCGTGCATCACGCATGGCAAATAACTGACTGATTCCTTGTAGTTCAAATTCCAATTGAATCCATTACATTCATTTACGGGCTAATACCATTGGGAAAGGTATAAATCCTCTTCTCCCAGCAGCTATGGGTAAATAGCAGGGCAGACCGAGTTCTATCGCCTGGGATGCCAATTGGTATACCGCAGAAAGAAATGGCCACCTACTGCGGGATTTAAATCTGCCTCGTCAGTCATGTATCGAAAGATAAATGATCGCCTAAGTGTGTATCACGCATGGCAAATAACTGACTGGCTATCACTTTCTGACTGGCTATCATTTTTCATCACGAACGACTTTCCAGTTTTACATTTCAGTGGTATTTCAATAACTATAAATTTCAATATACGGAAAATAAAGCTTTTCTATCAATGGCAACCAGTCTATTATAAAAGCTCCCACCGGTGCAATAAGTTTAGGTAAAGCTTTTGGCTGTATAAGAACAAAAAAAAATGAATGAAATCCTTTACCAAAACGTAGGACGTAGACGAATATTTTTTATTCATGGCACAAAATATTCACCTGAGACAGACGTCCAGAATTTTATCTTGCGGATTTTTTACCGTTTTTTTTTTTTTTTTTTTGGTGGAAATAAGAATTCTTTGCAGAATCAGCACACAAAAAATAAATAAATAAAACAATTCCAGATAGAATAATCGGTGTCATCCATTTTTTTTTTAACTGCTATGTCCCTTCCCGATATAGACAATCTCGGATGTCCACAGATTACTAAACTACTTTTTATTATAAGTGAAATCTACTTGGAAAGCATAATGGAGCGGCTTTCAGTTGCTTTATTCACTCTTTTAAATTCGCGTTTTTTTCTTTTTCTAACGTTTTCCAATACTACCTTCAGGGCATATTGAAAAACTACCCTAAACATACAGTCATCTATACAGGTGTGTGAGGACAAGACAAAATATTAAAAAAATCAGCGCAAATATATATGGTTTTGTGTGAATAATTCATGAATTTGTAAATTGATTGCACGTTTATCGTAATTTAAATAACTGATCCAAGTGCGACTTTTGGATAATAAGTGCGTCATTACTGTAATTATTGAACAATATAGTTCATGCCACTTTGACAGAAAATTTACCAGTAAAAAATTCGTTCATCACCATATTTGTATATGAACGCACAACTTTTAAAAATTTAAAACCAAACTCAGCGTTGCTACTGCGCGCTCCAAAAACAATAACTCATTTCCAATAGCATTTTCGGATACAACAATACATATATTTTCGTTGTCCTCTTATTACTAAGAGAAAAACAAGAACAACATCTATTCTATACCTGAAGATGTCTGTAGGAACAGACGAAAGCTTGTAGTAAAAATAAGAACTAATACGGCAGAAATTTATAGAAACAAGGATCATTTCATTCATAACGGATTCGGAGGTTTTTGTATATTATTTGAATTGTTTGCGACGATGGATTTCTCGCCAATTAAATCATTAACCTTTGCATTTGTTTTTGTGTGAATAATTCATGAATTTGTAAATTGATTGTACGTTTATCGTAATAATATATATATATATATATATATATATATATATATATAACCAAGTATATAAATTTTATATTTATATGTATATAACCAACAATTACTATTCTTAAAAGAGTGCTCAATACAAAGTAGACCAGATATAATTATTATTTATTAAAAAAATTATAACATAAATATGTTATAAAATCACTACAAAAATAGCCATTTTGTTTCAACACCCTCGGTGTCTTATCAATTGATGATGTTGAAGACAGAGTTGTCCTTCTCCTAGACCAGTTGCCATCCAAGGTTATAGAACCCAGTCTTTTGGAAAATTATATTTTGAGCCATATTTCTTAGAATGCTTGATATAGGATGCTGATTTTTTTTGTTCAAGATAATTCTTGTCCTAAAAATGAATACTTATGACATCATCATAGCACCCCTCCCCCCTCAACATCTGTACCTTCGGCTTCTGGTGTGGGAACGGGAATGTTGATTTTTATTAGTAAATTCCTTTGGGATCCGATATGGAATGGTTAAGTGAATAGAGGCTATCTCTTCACATTTGTGCTTGTATACGCGCTGTGTATAGGCTAGGAAGTGATTAAATAGTTTAACATTCAACATAATCACTTGATAAGACACCGAGGGTGTTGAAACAAAATAGCTATTTTTTGTAGTGATTTTATAACATACTTATGTTATAATTTTTTTTATAAATAATAATTATATATATATATATATATATATATATATATATATATATATATATATATATATATATATATAGAGAGAGAGAGAGAGAGAGGTAACTACACTTGTCTCAGAAAACCTTCAGTTTTTTGATATGCTAATGATCAAATCAATCTCGAAAGAAAAAAAGGTTTTAAAAAAGAAAATAATCTTTCAGCATACAGGTCCAAAGCCCAAAAGAAAAAACACCGATACGAGTAATCAACTAACTTAAAAGTCCTCAATACAAAAGTAGAGCAGACCTAGTCAAACCTAGAGAGCCAGACAAGCCAGCTTTCCCTGAGCATCCGCTTAGGTGAAACCTTGGTAGGTTTGTCTGGCTCGCTAGGTTTGACTATATATATATATATATATATATATATATATATATATAAACTGTATATTTGAAAAGAATACATAAATGAAACTAAACTCTTGACAAAAACCGTCTTTAAAAAAGACTGATCTAATCATTTCCATTGATGAAAGCATTACCCCGAGATTTTTTTTGGTATAGCCAGCTGGTGCCTCGTAGTATTCTATCGAATTCCCTCTACGATTTGAAATCTTGTTCCGTCCAAGTAGTATTTTTGAAGTGGGAAATGTCGCAAGGGACGAGATATGTGGACTATGGTGGTTGTCGGACATATGGAATATCGTTCTTTGCCAAAAGCTGCTGCACAAGCCATGGTCACTGAGAGAACCTTTGTGGTATCACAAGACGACCACACTCTACACACTTTCATTCTGTATACTGTTACGAACAACGGAAATGAACAAGAACATTACAACTTAACGCGTATGCGACGACAGAGTTCACGCTAAATGTATGCGAAACGAATTCAATATAATCCAAAAGGGTTTCCGCGAGCTTCTGGGTGACGAATTATTTTCCACTTTGCAGCCCCTTTCTCAGAGACTGAACGTCATTTGATCTACGCTCCTTAGTGTCACTAGTCCCAACCTTCACGGCTAGAAACCCGCCTTGCCACGAATATTGCAGCGAATCAACTTCATATCCTTTGTTCTCTGGTGGTATATGGGTGTCCACTCGAAAAGCTTTATCCCATGAAACACTGCCTTATAGAAACGACTATCAAGAAGATCTTTCTCCAATTACTAGTCTTAGTCTGTTCAAGTCTAGGGTTAACTCTTATCTTCTACACATATCCACATATACCGAGACTCTTACACTGTAGTCCTCTACCTCGAATTATTGTATAATCCACTCGTTCTGGGCGGGGGGCATTTTCGTTGATACAGTCGATTACATAACGTTGTATCTTCTTTCTCTTTTCTTTCTTCTCTCGGCTGGATGTCGAAATTTTCTTTGGGGTTCGGAGATCAAAGACATCAGCAAAACGGAATTTGATAACTTATCTGTTTTATTAAATACGTCGACGTCTACATTTTTAACTAGCCAGTGGGGTCGATCTGTCACCCCCACTGGGGAGAAAGTTCCCCGAGACACGAAATAACCACGTCTATTGTGTATGGTGTGTAAAACTTAACTTACTGAAAGCACTTTTTATATCTCTGTAACATACCCACGTGAAAAATCGACATCTCTATTTTGTCTACCATCTGGCATTAAGGTCAGCCTAAGAAGGTCTGAGCCAAATACACTAACAGTATGAAACTATTATTTAACATAGTAACTCCGTGCTGTGTACAGGGTGAATATAATTGTACAAAAAAAAATTACTACGGCCTTTTGGCGACGTTTAGATCAGTTTAAGTTATCGAAAGTGGATTATATAAGATTAAGAAAGCAAAGAATTTATTTACGAAAAGGACGAGAAAACGAAAATTGTTTTGAGATATGTCCGTATTATTTCTGCTTTTTCTTTTGCTCAGTTTTCTTTCATCGTAATGTTCCTTGTATTTTTTTTTTATTCTATTTCTCAGATCGCAATTCTTCGATCGAATACGTAAGAAAAGATCTGGCAATATTTCAATCTACATCTAATTTTCCTTTTCGCCATCGCTCAGCGCCGTGTTCGCTAACACGGTCACATTCTGCGATGACTTTATGACACACCCTACCAGAGTCATCTACCTGTACGACCCGTCAATCGGCAGACTGGAGACGATCTCACGGCAGATCACGCAGCCGCCGCAAGGACGTCGTCCGTCAAGACCACCAAGAGATTAATCCCGCGTTAAAGTATGTTCCGACGCTTTGCCAAGTCTCTGAAAGCTCGAGGGACAAGGTGGCTATCTTGGGATCAACGCTTTCATATAGCATGAGATTTAGCAGTAACATCGCTTTCCTTTGGGAGTCTGTATTTCTCTGACTGCGGGGCTTAACTTCAAATATTTCACAGGCAGACATCGTTGAAAACAGAATGACACAGCATCGAGCAAAATAAGTGGGCCACGTCGGTAAGCAAATCAATTTGCTTATTTTATACTATTTGCTTATTTTATAGTATTTAACTTGTAATAGCAATTTGGAAAACGAACTTCCTCGTGTACCATTTGTGGTCATTCAGAACACATTTGCCAGTGGTTGTGTTCACGTGAACAAAATACGCGGTGAGATTCAGACTTAAAGGCAATTGAAACTCGGTTCTCCAATCAAAATCATTTGAGCCCTTATCCATTACACCAACCGCAAGTCCTACCTTACAGCACTTGTTATTCCCATCCGGTCACCCATCTTGTTACTGACCAGGGTCAAAGTTGCTTAACTTCGATGATCATACGGAAACCGGTGTTAAGAATAATAAAGCAAGTTGCTGTATTCACATGAGAACAATACGTGAGGAGATACGGAGCTCAACGTATAATACTGAAAATAAGGTATGCAAAATTTATCAACCGCTTGATAATCCTCGAGATTATCATCACCCCAGATTAAGATACGCATGTAAATCTTAAGTGATCAAACGCAGATTACATAAAATCTGCTACCTTCAATTTGTCTGATCAGTAACTTTGTTGTATATTGCTGTGGGACACAAATAAGGCGACGATACTTATATATTAAATATATATATATATATATATATATATATATATGTGTGTGTGTGTGTGTGTGTGTGTGTGTGTCTATATTTCTGAGATGAGGTATTATGTACATTATTTACATTATTCGGACTATTGTCCTCATCTTTGTCGCTATATTTATCACAACGTTTCGGCTATTGTACGCTCCGGCCTTCTTCAGGTGGTTGGAATGTCGAACTGAACCCTTTATTTCACTCACCTGGGTAGCCTGTTCCCTTTCCACGTGCCATGTTTGATGGATGTCAGTTATCAGTTATCTCCTGTTAATTTCCCTCTGAAAGTTCTCCACTGCCTTAACCGGGTATTGAACTCACACTCTTTGGGTCCTGTCACTGGATCTGACCAACGTCTTTATCCTTGAGGACACATTGCACAGTGGATGAAGACTGTTTCTTGCATTCCAGCTTGTTTGAAATACCCTTTGTAAATACTCTGTCTGTTGGTATTGGTTTTAAAAAACACGGGCAAACCGTTTGATCTTTGCGACGATCGAACTATTAATCTTCAACCTTATTGGGTGGGAGGGGGAAGTACTTAGAAGATCTTATCAGCTTTCAATTCATTAAGCATCTCACCTCACATGGTCTTCTTTGAATCATTCAATATGGCTTTCGTTTCTCTAGTTTTAAACTTCGATATGTTAACGTTTTTTGTGACGTATTGGGGCCGTTAATAATTAAGTATAGATCAAATCTTCACTCGTATTCGATTATAACTGTCTACTAGCGCGGTTAGCCAATCCCTATTGCAGACGCTTGCTCAGGCACATTTTCTGTTTGTTCAACACCCAAAGAGCCCATCTGTGGCTTATATAGTAATTAAGCTGAGCAGACCTTAAAATGCGTTTTATCTAGCGGGATCAACAATCTGAGGCCAGCATGCTCAAACTCTTGGTCACGATGAATTATGACTTCGCGCTATCACAGCCATCGACGGGCCCTAAGGGTACCGTCTACTTAATTTCATTTACAAGGCTCTGGTCAACCCGTGGTATGGTTTTCAGACACTTCCCATGTCCAACCAGTTTTTTGCGTTGGACTCTTCTCCTACGTCCACCTTCAACGGTGCCTTGAATGATGGTCTTGCACAGGCTGTCGTGCCTTGTAATGTGTCCAAAACATGCCATTTTTCTCTGTTTGACAATGACGAGAAGAAGTTCTTGGTGTCTCACAAAACTTTCAACCATTTTCCACACAAACTCATTGTTTTTTTGTTCCCAATAGAAAATGCCAAGGAATTTTCTCATGCATTTCTGCTCAAACACTTGGATCCTTCTCTCTGTATCTGCCGGCAGTGTCCACGTTTCACATCCATATAGAAGAATGGAGACTACCAGCGATGTGTACAGTCTGTGCTTTGTTTGAAAGCTGATTGTGCTCCACCATATTCTTGTCAATTAAATAATAAATAAAAAAGCACAAATACAAACCAAACCAAAAATCTACCATTCAAACACAAGCCGCTCCTTCAAAAAATACTTCTAGAAAGCAAAGGTCACACTAAAAACCATCGAAGATAGACTTAAAAACTTATCTCCCCAAAAAGCATAACCAGCTAAACAAAAGCCAAAAATTCATTGAACAAATTCCTACCCAAAAACGATTTGACAATCTCGAAGAAATGGACGTGGAAAGCCATAAGCCGCAGACAGCCAAAACATCGAAACTCAAAACCTCGAAAAATTAAATCAATACCACATAATAAACTAAAGCCTCAAAAAATTTAGCATGCAATGATTAAATATTTCAATGGAACTGTGGCACAATAAAATTTAACAGAGTAAACTGCTTCTGCTAATAACAGGCCCGTAACCGGCAGTTGTCTGCCTTCAGGAAATATTCCTTAAATTACATGACAAACTGAATATAAAAGAATATCAGCAACACAACTAAACACATGACACTGAGCTACGAGTGTCAGGCGGTACATCCAGCCCAGTTAGGATTGATGTACCTCAAAGTAAAATGAATTTAACAGGCGACTGATGTTAAAGTGACTTTACACAAGCCGATAAATATCTGCTCAATATATATCTCACCATATTAACCAGCAAATGAAGCAAACATTCAAGAAATCATAAGATAACGTTTGCTCCTTTTATGATAATAATGATCTTTAATTGTCACAGCACCATTTGGGGTTGTAAAGACACAAACCTAAATGGAAAGACCTTAGACACAATTATTTATAACGACGCTTTATGCATTTATAATAATAATAAAAACCCGACTTCCATAAATCTATTTTCTATCAGCTACTCGACAATAGACATCTATATGTGATCCATCAATTTTTATGAATTCCTCTTGGAATGTATTGGTAGACACATGCGGTATCAGTCACTTAGCAATCGTCCTGCAAAACTCAATCGTCCTGCCCAAACCCTCTCCGTTGAAAATCAGGCGAAGCCTATTGGGAAGAATTTAAAAACCAATGTTCTGAAAAACTAGTTGAAGGAAAAGGGCATCTGGGACGTGAAACATTTCACGGAGATCCTCATTTGTATAGCAGAGAAATGCATTCCAAAACAATCAGTATCAAAACATACAACAGGTTCAATGATAAATCTAAAAGGACCATCAAGCTAAGATGGAAAACACTGAGAGAATTCAACAGACAACTACGACCTTTAATTTTCTGTGGTTTGGACACATTACAAGACATGACACCCTGTGCAAGACCATCATGCAAGTCACCGTTGAATGTGGACCTAGGAGAGGACGCCAACGTAAAAACTGATTGGATAATGTCAACCAACGGACACGGATGACTACACCAGAACTGCTGATGGCTGCCGTTAATAGACCGCTTTGGAAAAGAGTTAGTGTGGCTTCTGCCTTCGGATCCGCGCTATGATTACAAAAGTCAAGGGGATGATGATGATGATGATGATTAATGGCGTGGTTCGGACACGTTAAAAGGCACGGCACTCTTTGCAAGACCATCATGCAAGGCCCCGTTTTAGCTGGACGTAGAAGAAAACGCCAACACAAAAACTGGTTGGACAATGTCAATGGACAAGCGTGACTATATGTGACGTCACCCTGGTCTCTCCCGTGCTATCTTGTGACGATCTAACCCTTGGCTGATTCGGATGGAAATCTGGTTAGATTCGGCATCAGCTTTGTCGTTCACAGCTCGCCTCCAACGTCTGTTTACCGAAGTAACTGCTTTGATTTCTAGTCTAACCTACCCACGTTGTGATTTGATCTTAGGCAGACGAAATCAATCAGGCGTCGGGCCGTAGTGCCAGCCCAATTCGGGGCAAAGGTGATACCGCACGAGTATATGTAAAAGAAAATAAAGTAACAACTCGAAAGATTCAAATGTGTTAAAAAAAGAATAACAAGTCTCTTTATATCTGGTTGCTGAATACAGGACTGCATCTTTCTCGTGACACTTTGCGTTCCTTAGGCGAGTCTTAATTGTTTTTCAATAATTTTTTGATATCTTCAGGCGATAATCGTAAAACTTGTTTTGGTGGTGTGAGTCTAAGTCGTTCTTCAAACAAAAATGGTTTTTGGTTAGAAGTCTAAGTCGGAATGCGTGGAAATCTTTCTGTCAGCTCCTGCGAGGCTGGTCTTCGCACTCACAGCTCAACTTTGTGACTCCAACTGTCACCAACCGTGTTATGACTGCCCCAACTATGTCTGCGTTACTCTGACTGAGTCTGTGATTGCCCCAACTGTGACTGCGTGCTTTGATCTGGGGACGTTCGTTTATATAGACGCCGACCAAAACCGGGTGGGGGTCTGTCGTGGTTTGGGTTCCTCGATAATTCCAAATCCGCAATAAGAATTTTCTTTGTTTTCGGACAGGAAAATTTATCACTTCCCATTTTTGGAAGTCAATTACTTTCTGTTTTAGAGGGGTACTTAAGGGAATTGTCCTCCCAAATTCTTCCTTTCTCATATTGGTATCTCACACCAATCCCCTCAGAGGGCGTCAACAGTTTTCCCTTCTTTCTCATATTGGTGTCTCGCACCAATCCCCTCAGAGGCGTCAACAGATTTCCCTTCTTTCTCATATGTTTACCTTCGCCCATCGCTCACGCCACCATGAACGCTCGGCAGCGTGGGCGTGGCTAGACTGGCCTCAGTTTACAATTATCGCTAAAAAAAATCATCTTCCTTTTCATTTCTTTCTTTAACACCGACTAGAACCCCCACGAATCATACTTTGGACATAAAATCTCTATCTTAACTTGATGTCATCTGGGATTCATCAACGGGATTTTCGCCAAGTTATTATCTGGGTGGTCAACTGAATCTCTTTGTCTTCCTGAACGTCATCGCATTCTGTCGCCAACAGTCTGTCCAGGTTACAAACTTTTATCATGGCAAGTTCTGGAGATAAAAACAAGTGTCTCCCTTCCAAAACCAAATAATATCTCCGAAAGATAGTTAATGGCTTATTCTTTTCCTTTTTCTCTTCTTCCTTCCTTTTTCTTTGGGGTGGTCTCAGCTAATTCTTTCTCGGTCACATGCTTGACCCAATTTTCGATTATTTTTTAGCATTCCGCTTTGTAAGCCTCTTGACCAATTTGAAATTTTCATTATTGTCATGGGCAGATTGCTATCTTTTATACGCCGCGACATGGCATAAATTAATTCTGACAGATCCGAGATCTTACGAATTTTCTATCTTCTGCGAAAAAAATATACTTTTCTTCGCAAATGAAAATAAAATCTTTACCCAGTTTTCTTTTG